TTGTAAGAGCTTTTCTCAATGTACAGGCTGGCCTCAAAGTTGGGACAATTTTCCTGCCTCTGTTCCGAGTCCTGGGACTGCAGGCCTGTGCTGCCACACTCAGCTTCACTATGAACTTCCCTTGGCAATTTGTTGTAACTAACTCCTATGTATGATCACTTTTCTTTAAACGAATAGAACTGTCTGAGAAAAAAGGCTGTCGATTACAATTTTCTAATCAGATACAATTGTGTTTATCTCTAATCTTAGTGGACTGTATGGATAGTTACCTAATTAATGACCGTCTTCAGCACCCGAGGACATCCATCTCCTTCACACCCACTTGCCCTCTCCCTCTCTCACTGTTTTCTGACTTCTGTCATCAGATCAGGGGTTCTGAGGGACTGAGGAGTACATGGGTCATATGTTTTCCTCTGTTGAGCACTTTACCTTAAGGCCTAGAACATGCTGGGAAGAATAATGTACTGAGTTCAGACTTTGCCATTAAGACAGATCTAGAATGAATCCGATTGTGCTAGTTATAGCAATCTGAGAAAGCCATCTACATGCTTTCAGCATCATATTTTCACATGGTAAAACCTACCATTGTGCTTTCTCAAGTACCACATTCTAACTAGAGTTTTATTGTCTTGTTTTAAGGTTTAATCCATGTAAAATGCATAGGCCTCTGACTCAGGTAACATTTTCAGATACTGCTAAATATATACGAGAGGGAAGGTCTGAAGGCCCCAAATAAAAGCATATAACACATAAAACAAATAAACAAAAATGTTGAATATTAGGTTATATTGGGTAGTGTCAGAGAAGGCACATACCTGTATTTCTCATTAATAAAATGAGTCAGTTCATTCAGTTATTTGCTACACCCAGTGAACTTGGATTGTAGGTAAACCTTTTATTTACTCACTAGTATTAATTTCTGCATACTGTTACCTTAAGGCTGCCCCTGTACACATCTGTAAAATGTTTGCTTCTTACCTTAATAAGTACCAGTCACTATTGTGAATATAACATTTTTCTTGTTTCTTGAACATGGGAGAGAGAAGTTATTTTGAGAAATACCTCTGAAATTTTTTCTTTGGTGGCAATTTTGTTAAAGTGTTCTGCTTCTTTAGGATTACATTTTTTTTTCTAGAGGTAAAACTATGCAAGGATGATATTGGGAGGGTTTTAAATCTGAACTTACACCAATCCAGACATCTTTGCAGCCCTTATGCCTGCAAGGGACATCTTTCAGATGGCAATTTTTAACATTTAAAAAAAACTTTGTGTATTTATCTTACGTGTATGACTGTTTTGCTTGCATGTATGTAAGTGTACCATGTGCCCACAATGCCCATGGAGGCCAGAAGAGAGTGCGGGATTTCCTGGAACTGGAGTTACCAGCAGTTGCTGGCTGTCATGTGGGTGCTGGAAACCAGCCTCAGGTCCTCTGGAAGAGCAGCCAGTGCTCTTAATTGCTGAGCCATCTCTCCAGGCCCAATTTTTAACATTTATAATTGTTATTGTTACTGTTACAATTTTTATTATCTTAAGATATTTCATTGAAAATATTTGTCCAAAGTGACTGGTTGCTAACAGAATTTTAGGCTTTTTACTAACTTTCAGTAACAGATCCTAATTCACCGACAAAAGGATATATACAACATACCCCTATCTATTATACCTGTGCTATGGAAGAATGCTAAAAACGTCGAGGCACGATGACTTGTAATCCTAGCACTTAGAAGATGGAAGTAAGAGGATCAAGAGTTAAAGGGTCAACCTCATCTATGTAATAGCAGGCTCAAGGCCAGCCTGTATTGTATGAGATCCTGTCTCAAAAAATCACAAAAAATAATTTTAAAATAGTGATACACTGTAGCTCAGTCACGGGGATTTGCTAGGATACTCCCAGGTTATCAGACTTGTTATTTTGACCCAGATAGCTACAAGGGTGTGAACTGCTTCTGCCATGGCAGTTTGCAGCTTTAATACGTCCAGAGGAGGAGGTTGTTTGCTAGCAGGGTGACCCGTCCAGCATTAACACTCCAGTCAGGGGCCAAGATTTATGATTCTGTGGCAAAGCTGACATAGTTGCCTGAGGTGACACATTTCATGCATTTTATGAATACTTCCAAACATTTGAGAGTCCTGGAATGGTTTGAGAACTTCAAAAATATATGCTTAGTCATGTTTAAATAAGTTGCCACAGCTTCTGCCCTACAGGAGACTGTGGGAGACTGGAAGACTATTTCATTACAGACCTGATTCAACAGCTACCTGTGACTCCATCCCAGCACTTTATTGGCTAGCACCTGGAAGTTGAGAGGCATGTGTGAAAGACTTAAAAACAAAAAATGAGGGACAGGATTAGGGCTTGGGAAGATGGCTCAGTGGGTTGGAGCTTGTTAATGCAAGCATGAGGATCTGAGTTCAAATCCCAACATCCACTTTTTACATGGTTGCATGTACTTGTAACCCCAGCATATGGGGTTGGAGACAGGCAGATACTGGGACCTCAAAATGGCAAGCTTCCAATTCAGTGAGAGACTGCTGCATGTTGGCACCGTTAATAATCTAGGGGTGTTACTGGGTTCCATTTTCTCAGCCAATTAAAGAACTAAAAGGCCTGAAAAATCTCAGACTAGCAGCAGCAACAGTCAAACAAATTTTTATTGACAGATAATCATATCCACATACATAAAAACCCATAAATAACACAGAAGATGAAACTCTCCACAAGTTGAGAGGAGACCCAGGAACTGAAATCCAACATCCTCCCCCTTACCTCCCAGGGCCTGGGTTTTAAGGGTTTTAGTGGTTTCTTCTTCCCTAGGTTTGGATTGGTCAACTTAAAGAAGAGAAGGCTGTATAGATCATATCTCCAAGCTGAGATATTTAGAGCAACATAACACTTAGGTTAGCTGAAGGGGCCCCGTTAGAGGTAAAAAATAAAATAAAATAAAAAATAAAAAATAAATAAATAAATAAATAAATAAATAAATAAATAAATAAATAAATAAATAAATAAATAAATAAATAAATAAATAAATAAATAAATAAATAAATAAATAAATAAATAAATAAATAAATAAATAAATAAATAAATAAATAAATAAATAAATAAATAAATAAATAAATAAATAAATAAATAAATAAATAAATAAATAAATAAATAAATAAATAAATAAATAAATAAATAAATAAATAAATAAATAAATAAATAAATAAATAAATAAATAAATGCTTTCCTGCCAGGAATCAAGAAGCTGGAAGCGTGCCATCTTTATTGCTTCTTAGTGACTCTATTTGCTTATTAGGGACTTGGTCTCCAGGGGATAAGGCAGAAAGCAATAGAAGACAAGACCCATGTCCTCCTCTTGCCATCACGTGCACATGCACAGGCACCTGGACACTCACACGCATACACCCAAAGGGCAAGTCACTGAATATCTGTATAGTCTCATAAATCAGACTTTTCTTGGAGTGGCTTAGGTACTTGATCAGAATCATCTTCATAAAAATAAGTTTACAGTTAACAGAGGAGAACTAGAACAAGAGTCAAAGGGTAGGGCCAGACATTAATTTCTTCATTAATCTTTGAGCTTTCTCTGGTCTCAGCATATTCCCCATACCAGTTCAAAAGGAAACCACTGACTATTCTGACCTCCTTCTAGACCTGCTAGGAAACAAAAAATCCAAACTTGAAAATAAGGCAAACTGTTACTACCAGCCTTTTCAATTGACCACACTATGGGCCATCTCATTTACACAGTCTGAGTAGCAAGCTGGAACCTGAGACCTCAGTCAGACTCAGTGCTCTATCTACTTTATATACAGTTTCAGGGATAGATCTTATCAATATAAGTGGTTGGGGGAAAAGTCAGAAATAAAAGAAAAATAGTATTTTGTCATTTATGAAACTCAAATGTTAGTGCTGGTAAGTATTATATTGAAAGACAGCCATGTTCATGCTACTAAGTACTGTTTGTGCCTTTGAATTTCATAGGCTACTCAATTTCACTTCTAAAAAGACAAGGTCTGCTAACCCTTTTCCCAAGGGATATAACTTGCTTTATTGTTTCTTATTGGTAAGCATTCAGTCTATGGTGTTAGCGATGACTGTGCAGACAACTGATGTCACAGGCAGTGAGGTGGCTCAGTAGGTAAAAGCACTTGCCGCTTAAGCCTGGTGACTTGGGTTTGATCCCCAGAACCTACATTAAAGTAGAAGTGTCTTCACAAAGTTGTTCTCTGACCTCCACATGCACATGCATATAGACAATGCTGATAAGTAAAATTTTAAAGATTGATGTCCCAATATTTTTCTCAGTAACAGATGGAAATAGTATCTGTTCATAGGAAAGCATTCCATAGGACATAGTTTTATTGCCTTGTAAAACGATAAACCCAATTCTGTATTTTACTCTTGAACCTTACTCGAGCATTCTTTTCTGCTTGGCGTTTCAGCTTATTGTATCTTCCTTTAGATAATCAGCGTTGCCCTCTTGCTCATCCCTCCATTAATCAGTTAACTATATCTCTGACAAAGTTGGACCAGAGTTGTCAGGATGTTTTATCTTTATGCATGTGAGTGTTTTGCCTGCAGGAATGTAAGTGCACCTATGCATGCAATGCCCTTGGAGGCCAGGAATGGGCAGCAGATCACCTGAAAATGGAATTGTTAGCTTCCTTGTGGGTATTGGGAACCAAACTCTGGTCCTCTGCAAGAGCGCCAGTGCTCTTAACTTCTGAGCCATCTCTCCAGCTCCTGTTTTTGTTTTTTGGAGATAAGGTCTGACTATGTAACCCTGACTGGCCTGGAACATATTATGTAGACCAGACTGGCCTCAAACTTGGAGAAATCTCCCTGCTCTGCCTCCCAAGTGCTGGGATTAAAGGCGTGCATCACCACGCCCACCCAAAATATTATGCTTTTAACTTCCTAAAAACTAAATTTTGTCTTCTAAAATATATTATTTATTCCAGCACGATGGCTCGGGGGTAAAGGTGCTTACATGCAGACCTGATGACCTGACTTCGATCCCGGTTCCCAAAAGATGGCAGGAGAAAACAGACTCCGGAGAGTTATCCTCTGATGGCCACACATGTACAGTGGCAATGCAAGCACCTACAATCACATACACAGACATTTTAAAATAAAATAGACTATTTTATTTATAGATCCTGTGGCAATCATTGTAATTGCAAATCACATATTGTTGTCTCTTTTCCAAACATAATGTACAGTGAGGAAAACTGCTCAGACTCCTTGGAAACAGATTGATTTTTCTTGAACTACATATTTCCACACACAAAAAAACAAAATAGGTGGGTGCCTCAGTTTTTAGAAGAGTATAGAAAATTAAGTTTTATCGAGACATTTCCCCAAAATGCCTTGTAAGTTAAATCCCTCAGACAACCTGAGCAGACCTGGAACATGTGCGTGCCTGCAGACATCCCTGCTTTAACAGTAGATGCTTGAGCTCTGGCCTGCGCATTACAAGAGAAAAGTTCAGAAGTGCTGTCTAGTCCCTCCAAGTTGCTTCTGTCTACGGAGCTTCATGTTTACAGGACCCCACTTGTTTACAAGGTCCAGCATTTATCAGAGAGGCAGTGACAAGTAGAAGCTGGACTTTCTAGTCATACCAAAGCACTAACTTTAGTTATTATCTGCTTATCCGCTGGCTATAAAGCTCACTGCCCTGTCATGGGCCCCCTGAGTACCCAGCTTCCAGCTACCCAACAGATCCACCAACAGAGAGGTCCTTGCAAAATTACTTTCATCCATGAAGTATTCTCAGGCTCCTGATCTTTTTCTATTTTTTATTAGGCTTATTTATTTATTCATTTATTGTGTGTGTATGTGTGTGTGTGTGTGTGTGTATGTGTGTGTATGCATGCATGCACCAATGAACACATCTGGAGGTCAGAGGACAACCTGTGGAAGTTGGTTCTCTTCTCCCATAGCATGAATTCTTAGGATCAAACTCAGGCCATCAAGCTGGGCAGCATGGGTGTCTTTAACCACACCAAGTTGTCTCACTGGTCCCTTCTGTCTTTTCCAAGAAGCACCTAATCTTTTTTATTCCTTTTGCATTGCATTTTTGGTTTTAGTTTTTAGTTTTTTGCGACATGGTCTCCCTATATTATCCTAGCTGACCTCAAACTTACAATTCTCCTGCTTCTGCATTCTGAATGCTGCAAATACAGGCCAGCATACCCAGTTTTCCATTGTACTTTATAATGTAAAATAAGAAAATGATTGTAACTGAAGAAACCCAAAGCAAATAATATTGTAAAGGGACGTGTTGTGGGTGCTTCACCAGAGAAGACCACTCAGACAGTTTTGCCAAATGCTAGCCAGTGGCTACACAAGGGTGCCAGAACCCCAGCGTATAGGCCCAGTCATCTCTAGGGTAAGCTTTATACAGAGAAACCATAACCAGGGGTGAAAAGTTTAAGCTCCCAAGCTTACAAGCACAAAGCCCCCTTAACAATTTCTATTCTATTAAGCAACAATTACTATTTTCCAGAAACAAGCCGAGCATAACCTACAGAAGCCATATATCTGCAGTTAACAGGTGCACTCCAGGACACACTGATCTGTTCCCAAGACAACTGGGTCCTGTTGACATGTGTTCCCATACTCTGGTCCAACTGCCTGATAATTTCAGAGACTAGAGTCAGCCTAAACTTTAACACAGTATAGCTATGGTCAAGAAGGTGCCATATCACAGTCTGTATTATCAAAGGAAACAGGTTACATAGGCAGCAGCCAAGCTAATATAAGATTATGATATTTTGAATGGGGCTGTACTTGTGTCTTGCTGCTGTTCATATAAAAACCTGCTCTGACCTCAAAGGGGATAGGAGGCAGTTTATTCTGGAGCCAAATATGAGTGACCATGATCCAGGAACACAGATTTAGTTTACCCTAAACACCATGTTCCAATGTGATAACAATTTCATGGAGATTTTGGAGGGAAAGAGCAAAGAAAATCATAAACCAACACATTTCAAATACATTAGTGGAAATAAAGGAAGCATGCAGGTGGGTGTCACAGGTCTAGTGTCAACCTGACACGCCTGGGAAGAGGGACCCTCAATTAACTTTCATCAGATTGGTCTATGGGCATGTCTGTGTGTCATTTTTCTTGATTAGTGATTGATGTGGGAGGGACCAGCTCACCGAGGGTGGTGCCACCCCAGGGTAGGTGGGCCTGGGCTGTACAAGATAGCTGAACAAGAGAGCAGGCAGGATCCCCTCCTGTGTCTGCTTCAGTTCTTGCCTCCAGGTTCCTGCCTCAGCTTCCCTCCATGCTGAACTGTACCAGACAAGCCAAATAAATCCTTTCTTCCTTCAAGTTGGTTTTGGTCAGTGTTTAATCACAGCAACGGAGAAGCAACTAGAGCAGCCAGGTATGGCAAAGCAGGGAAGTCACTGCTTAGGCCTCAAATGCTGTCTGATGGCTCTCAGACTTTAGGTTGGTCGAAGCTAGAAATCTGTACATTCCAGGATTTACCTAATAGACACAGGGTGTTAAGTAACATACACAGGTAGAAAACAAATGACTATTGATGATACTAAGATGGCTCAGGGTAATTTGACTCTGGGCCTGCAACATTCCAACTCTCCACAATCAGTGAAGTTCTAAGTAATTAGTCCATCAGTCTTTCAGCGTGTAGGTGCTACTTTTTCTCTGGGAACTTCACTTAACACTGCTAATAGACAAGAGGACACTTTTTCCCAATTCCAAAGTAATCTGTAGTATTTCTGTATCTAAGGGACCTCCCTTACAGCCGGCTTCTGCCCAGCATTTTGTTTGGGAGAGCTTACTCCATCAAAGGCTGTAATGAATTATCCTAACAGAGAAGAGACAGGGGCTCTGAGAGTGAGGGGTAGTTAGTCCAGTGGAACCCTGCTGGGGGTGGAAGTGGGGTTCTGCTAGTACTGAATCATGAAGACATAGGTCTGGATTCTGGAAACTGGTGTATCAGCTACTACCCTGGCATAGGAAGCTTTATTTTTATTTTTGTTTTGTGGGGTTGAGGACTGACTCTAGGGCCTCCTTGGATACTCTCCACCACTATACCTCTAATACTGAGCTAAATCCCAAGCCCTCTTTTTACTTTGACTTTGAGGCAGAGGCTTGCTAATTTGCTCTGACTGACCTTGAACTCATTCTGTAGCCAAGCCAGACTTCGATTTTGTAATCCTCTTGTTTCAGCCTCCTGACTAACTGGGATTACAGGTCTGTACCACCAGGCCTGGTAGGAAAGACTAAAGAGTACCCTTACGTGGTCGCACTAAGCTGGGTGTTTAAAAGCCTCTCAAATTGAAGATTAATAAAGCAGTTTGCAAATCAGAACGATAAATTCAGTGGTGCCTTACTCTTTTCTCATCCCTGGGCCCTGGGTCAACCCCATCTCAGGAACTTCAATTCTGTCTTCCCGGAATTGCGAGGAGAGGAAAGCCAGCTACGCTTCCGCCGAGCGCGGAGGGAGGGACCATCAGCCAGCAGCCCTCCGCGTGCAGGGGATTCGCCTTCCCAGGGCGCAGCAGGGCCGGATTTCCAGGCGAGCCTCCCACTCCATCCCCACCCCCAGGCAGCTAATTCAGGGAGACCTGGCAGTACTGCGCGTCTTTCCCAGGAGCTTCTGAAAGCGAGTTAACCAGGTGCAAAGCACAGTCTGGAGCAATTAAGTACTCCGTGAGTTCGCCACACCGTTACCATCTCCTTGAGCCGGTTATAACGCAGACACGCAAAGAAAGCCGGGGGAGCCCGAGCGGTCCGCGAACCGGCGGGGCGGCGGAAACAGATTTGAGGAGGAGGGTGCAGGGCAAGAGCCCGCGGAAGCAGCCAGTCTCCGCCCTCGGGGAGGAAGAGGCGGAGCCGAGCTCCCCTCGCTCGCTGCCCTCGGCTGGGCGCGCAAGCGCTGCCGGCCGTAGCCGGTCCCAGTGCAGACATGGCCTCCGGAGCCGGCGCCACCTGCCCGGCCGTGAAGGTGAGCTCACCCAGACCTGGCCCTTGCTCGCCGCTCCTCGCACGGGGGCCGCGATCCGGCCCGAGGGTCCCCGGCCCCGCGGAGAGGGGCGTCGCCCCCGCGAGCGAGCACCGCGTCCCCCAGCCTCTGCGCGGGTCCTCAGCCGCGCCCCGCACCGTGGAAGTCCGCGCTTTGGGGACGGTGGTGCGCGCTCTCGCCCCGCCGGGTACCACTGCCCTCTGCGGATGCTCCGCCGAAGCGCACCCGAGGCACCAGCCTGCAGATGTGCCTTGTGGGGTCCGCGCTTCCGCTCTCTGGCTGCCCTGGCGGCCCACGTGGGAGAGCTGCGTGCTTGCTCTTTTGCAAGCTGCTTTTTCCGCCAAACTTAAATTTCTCTTTGCTTTGTTTTATCCCGGTAGCACAGTGCTGAGGGAGTTAAGACTTTTTTAAAGACCCAAGGGGAGTAGAGGCGTCTCTTTAGGGGCAACCCCCCCCCACCCCGTTTGAAGGCCTCTGCCTTGAAATGGCTTTGGTATCAACCTTGAAAGTGAAAGCTCAGTTTCTTTGGGCCTCGGGTCCCCAGAAGCCTTGACATAAGGGATTTTGGTGAGCTGGAAACCTCGGGGGGGGGGGGGGGGCATGAGTTTTGAGACTTGCTGTGAAGATCCCTGGGGCTTTTAAACATACTCTGATTGATGGGGAGAGTGGAATCACAGTGCACAGGAAAACCAACGATAAAAGCTAAGGCCTTTCCAGGCTGTTTATTATTAGCCAAGAACGCTGTTAACTTGATTCACTGTTAGACACTTCTGGCCGACTGCACAGGAGGAGCACTTCTTTCTCCCAAAATCTCTTTGAATCTGCACTTCTCTTGAAAGAGGCACATCTCAGCAGTTAAGTGTGCCACCAGCCGGAGGGATCTGTGTATTAGGCCCGTCGTAGGGCCTAACCTCAATGATAGGAGGGAATAAGGATGCTGTGTGCAGACTTGCTGTGAAACTTTAGCTATTTTGTAAATGATGATTTATAGAAAGCCTCTCCTATGCCAGTCAGCAGGAACATGGCAGAGAGGGTTTTCATGAAATTCGTACAAAGTACAGAATTCCTTTTATTTTTTATATACTATTTATGTAATCCTTCTACAGAATTTGCTGGGAGGGTTAGAATTATATCTGTATTATAGATATGGTTAAATACTGAGGAATGGGAACCTGAAATGGTTTCTGAATTATCTTTTTTCCAACAGGGAGTTATGTTAGGTATCATTAGGCCCTAGCTTTTCACCTGTAGCTTTACACTACATTTAAAATGTCTGTTACCTTCCTTTTGGCTGTAGGTGGGACCAGATGTAATTATTTATGACCAAGAAGGGGTATCTTGACATGCCTTTCTCTATAGAGTATGTGAAATTCCACTAAGGTAGAAGGCCTGTGATGGCTTTGTCAGCCCAATCAGGATCACGTTAATCCAGTAAGGACCAAGAAGAAAGTTTACTTTAATCTGGTTAGCAATCATCCTGAAATAATTTCCCTGTAAAATTAGTATGGTTCACTATAGTGCAGAAAGAGCCATGTGATTTAAGACCTGATATAAACATTGAATGATAGTATTTTTGATCTTGGCAGGCTTTTGAAATAAAACCTAGAGGTACACCTTTGCTGCTAAGAGTGCCAACTGATTGTTCTCCTGGAGATCGGAACAGGTGACAAACTTTGATACTGAGAATGCGGGCTGGTATCATCATATCCCCAAGACTGCTATGGCAGCATCATATAATAGAAAACTTGAGTGCCATTGTCCAGAGTAAAATGGGCTATTACGAAATTATATTCTGGGGGCTGGAGAGATGCCTCAGGCTACAAAGTGCTTCCCACACAAGCATGAGAGCCTGAATTGGATCCCTGGCACCCAGGTAAAACAAAGGTGGGTGTGGAGGCAAGTGTCCAATCCCAGAAGTAGAGAAGTAGAGTTAGGTGGATCTCAGAGCTGGATGGTCAGCCGGCCTAGCCAAATTGGTGAGCTCCAGGCTCAGAAAGAATGCCCCTTTCAAAAAATAAGGTTAAAGATAACTGATGAAGGCACCTGACGTCTGCTGCTGGCCTACACGCACGCACGCACACACCAAAAAAAGCCCCTATAAATATAAATCTATCTGCACACCGTCCAGTAATAGAGGTGGATTGTTCATTCAAGACCCTATGACCACACAAATTCATATTCACAGATGTGAAGCTGAGGCCCTGAAAAGTCACGATGTCTAGATAACGACAGAACTAGAGTCTGGCATTCCAGCAGCTACACATGAGACATTTCTCAAATCTGAAACGTGGTGTCTGTGTTGGTTTATGTATGACTTAAAGAGGTCGTCCAACCTTAGAGAAGAGGAGTGTGAGCTGTGTGCGCAACCAAGCCACCTCTCCAAAACCACTGCGTACTCTCCAGGTATGGGTATAGGAGCCACATTTGTGTCTGAAGTGTAGCCCAACACACTGCCACCATTTCATCTGTTATTGAGAAGCAACAGTTTAGTTAGGGGTGCCACAGCTCAGTTCAAGGTGATGAGGGCCAGAAAACTGGAACCAAGAGACCTGGCCTTGTATTCTAGTGCTACTGTTTCCTGTCAGCAGTGTACCCCTGAGCCTTAAGGTCCTCTACTCTAAGACTAGTCACACGTGCTTTGAAAGGGTGTTGGATTTAAGTACAGTAAGGTGTGACACACCCAGCTCAGTTTTTGGCATTCTATTAATGCCAACCCCAGTAACTTCCTTTGTAAAATATAAACATTGCCAGGAGTTCAAGCTTAAATTTAATATCCTTGGTCTGAGACACAGATTCCCCGTTCAGGTGAAAAACACTAGAGTTTTATCTTGGCAGTACAGTGTCTGGCATCTCACTCAAATCGAGCTGTCTACTGACTGCATCCTACTCAAGAGTACTTACTGAAAACCTGCCAGACCCTGAGGATGCATCTTTCAATAAGACAAGTTCCCTGTTTTCTGAAGTTTAAGTTATATTGGGATTGGAAGACCAAAAAATATGAGAGTAAAGTAGTAAGTCACCTAGGGAGGTGGATTTTAAGCCCTATCAACAATATGGTGGTTTTAGGAGATGGGGTGATTTCAGGCTGATGAAGCCATGATAGCTTACTCAGTGGCCACAGTGACATTGTAGAAGGCACTGCGTCCTTGAAAGCTGCCTGATCACCTCTCACTGTATTAAAAGAAACCATCTATAAGTCAAAGAGCAGGCTCTCCCCAGACACTGAATTTCCCTTCATTTTGGGCTTCCTAAAGGGCCTGCAGATTGTGAGATAAATTTCTGTTGTTTATAAGTCTAATTTTTATTTCAGCAACTTCAGCAAATTGAAGACAAGCTGATAGTTGAAATTATGGTAAAGAACCTGAGGAGAGATTACAGTGGAGACAGCCGAGGAAGGTCTGCAGAAGAAATGTGCTTGGTGGCCTGGGATTAGTAATGTCTTTGTTAGTGCATGGCCAAAATTAGATGGGTGTGGGCCTGCAGTATATAAACTAGGATAACAAATTTGGATTTGACTAAATATTTTGGAAGCCATTAAAGGATTCTGAACAGTGAAGTAGTGTATGATTTACATTTTTAAGTGACTGCTTGGCTGCTCTATAGAATTGCCCATATGGAGAAAGGGCTACATCTGGCCAGAAGCCATGGCGCTGGTGCCAAGTCTAGGCTGGTAGCCACAATAATGAGGATCTGCAGGCAACAGGGAGGTGTTGAGATGTGGGGAGTGTAAGAAGGAAAGGATGACTTCTGTGACTGCCAACCCCAAAGGATGGTAGTACTAGGGGATCACTTCCAGACTGGAGGTAGAAGCTGTCAGTGACTCTTCGGAGCAAGGAGAGTAAATATGGACTCCTTCCTCCCAATGTATTTCTGGTTAGGTGGCTAGAGCGTGAGGTGCTGAGGGAGCTCTTTACTGTAGTAGCAAAGTGAGTGGTGGCATGTTGAGGGACGGTGGAAGCTACCTAAGAGTAGAGTAATAAGAGACAGTCTTATGGTTCCCTGCATGTGGGCCTGCTCCATGTATGAGGCAGCTGTGGGTGGAAGCAGCAGGATGCAGCGGCCATGGATTAATAGCTGGCCTTGTCCAAGAGGACTTCAAGGAGCCATTGCCCAGTTTCATTCATGGGCTGTAGAAGGCGAAGCCTATCTTTGGCATCCAGAGAGGGGGCATTTGGGAGGACTCCTTCAGTGATCTATGGTTCCCTTTGGCCAGTTTTCACTCTGGAAAATTAGAAAATAATTTGTTGATCATGTTTAGAGTGGCAAAGAGGGTGTGTGGTTCCACTGTAGCTTGGTAATACCTCTTTCAAGCTCTCCTTTGGGCTAGTACAGGTCTCCTGTAGGACTGTCCTGAGCTTTGCAGAACAGAGAATACATCCTTAGTCTGTCCCCATAAAGTGCCAACTTAGCCCCTCCCCTGTCACTATGACAGACAGAAATGTCCCATATTCTTCATATTCCCAGGAGAGCCATTTCATACTTGGTTGAGGACTCCTGGGCCACTCACTGCCTGGTGAGAAGAGATAGGAGCTCCCAGGTTTATGTACCTACCAGCAGAGAAAAGCCAGGAAATAAGAGGCTTTGGTTGCCTTGAGGAAGTTTGTGTGTGCAATTTTGCTGGGGGTGGTAGGGTGTGAAGATACAGCGGTGGTGCTGATGTGTTTCATTGGATTTTCATGCTAGTTCTACTAGAGTTAATCAAAAATTTGACCCACATAGGCAAAGAAGGTGAGAAAACAGATAATGGATAAATATTTGTATGCAGTAGTCTGTAGATCCTTAACTGATTGTAGTTGTGCTCTGTTCTGTATCCCACATGCAAAAAAAAGAGTGGTTTTCAAAGTGTGCAGTGCATCTGCCTTGCCTAATAGTTTGGTGGAGGTGTGAAATTCTGGGCTCCATCCCAATCCTGCTGAGCCAGAAGGTTGTAGGGTAGGACCTAGCACTAAGGTCCTAGTAAGCCCCAGGACATTACTCACTGA